AAATCAAAGGATAAGAAATAACAGAATTATATAAACGAAGTTGAAAAGTCATATGCATGAGTGCCTTGATATGATTATGTGCAGTAAATTGTGCTCGAAACATCGTCATAAGTGAATAATACTGTTTCACTGGGTGGTTTTATCAAATAAATTTATTCTATGATGGAATTATACTCTACAACAGCACCCAAGTTCTATTTTAAAATTAAATGAGGTGTGTTATTTATAATTAGCAAATGGTATTAATATCCCCTTATCGTATCTGAGTTTCAATTTACCACTGAATGAATTTAGCACATTGTGTGCTGAAATTAGTCATCCGTTCCCACTAAGTAGATTAGATTAAATCTCTAGCTGTATATCCAATGTCATGCAATGTTATGCTCTTTTTATGATGTATTGCCTAGTGGAATTTATTTTACACTTCCATTACACAATCCCACCATGCTGTGTGCGTCAGTGTCACAGCGGTAGAATGCTTGCCAACCACGCAGGTGGTTTGGAGTTCGATCCCCGGCCACAGACGCACTCCTTTACCTCTCTAAGCCAGTGATAAGACTGGTAAAGAGAGAAGGTTGTGCATGAGGCTAGCAACCCCATCCTGTAGAAATAGATACCATTGCTACCGAAACTTGAAGCCTCTAGCTTGAAGCCCTATGTTCCACTGGGAACGTAAAGCAATAAAAAAACAATGCTGTGTATATTTCCTCTGCTTCAATGAAAACAGAATACTTTTGCTAAACTGCTTATGACCACCAGTATTATATGTTAAAATATTTGGTATATTTGCGTGTGTTTTAAAAAAAAAATTTATTACACATCTATTCACATTAATTTATCTCCTTCATAAATATCTCACTGAATAATGGAAAGTGGAAATGTCTACAAAATGTCAAGCAGGATACTGAAACTGAAACATCGTGATAAAAAATCGAATGGTGATGATGGTGGTGTAAATTGCTGCATATATGTTGTATATACAGTGGATTTTTATGTGATTTATTACAATTTCTGTTTCGTATGCACTTGACTTGCATACTTTTCTTCTCCCATAAAATCGATAAATAATAAATAAGGTGAATAACCATTGTATTACTTATATATTTGTGGTTGATAAGTGTATCGATGGTTCAATGGTAGAATACCCGCCAAACACACACACACATACATGGTCGGGGTTCGATTCCCTGTTGACTCATGCCTAAACCTCGCCTAGTTTACTAAGCGGTAGTAAGCCCAGAAAAGAGATAAGGTTGCGCGTGAGGTTAGTAATTCCGTCGCTACTGAAACTTCAAAAGCTTGAAGTCCTATATGCCACTTGGAATTCACAAGAATGAAAAAAAACAATGGGACTCTCCGAAAAAACTCTCCTGTGGTTGACAATCATCATTTCTATTGATTGACATTCTCTGCATTAGTCTAAATGATCTGTTCTTTACAATCTGGAATTCATCTTATCAGTCTTATAGACTGACTGGTTACAGTTTTTGGGGAGTTAAATATACGTTTTTTTAAGTGAGTTCAAGCTAATTCATCCTGGTTTTGAATTGTTAGCTCTTGTTGACACTTGTTTTGACTCACAAGTAATTGAATCCAGTGTAAATATCATTGTATAGGAAAATTTGAGATGAAGTCGAATGACCTCTATTGTCGTAATATCTACTATTTGAAAATCATGAAGTTAGGAATTAGAGATTACTCGTTCGATGTTCAATAAATTGACCACTTACTAGCCGTTTAAGCCTGAAATAGAAACCAGTCCTCAAACAATCAGTGTAGCCTATAACTTGGAACATAATCGCTTGTCAGGTAGCTGAGTTCCACTGGCTGTTGTTGTTAATTAACGCCTATTTTGTGCAACTTAGCTTTGGGATGAAAATCTTTAAAAAAAACCTGCTTAAAGGATTCATAATCTGTGATTAACTTCTCAATTCATCAATTAAAATTTGGGTGTTAGTAAGTAAATGTATATTCCAAAACCCCGGCCTAAGATATCCTTTAAGAAAATCAGAAACGATTGATCAACTAATAATTGGACTATGATTTAATTCAATTCGGATTTTCCCGATAATTGATTGGACCGAAGTGCTTGGCCCCAGGTTGACATATTGGCTCCTTGTTCAGACGCTTCGATGGTGTCTGATTATTTAACATGAAGTAAATTTGTGGATGGTTACTAGCAGTGGAATCCAGGATGCTCATTTCAACTGGAAAGTCCAAATTGAATTAGATAATTACTAATACCCGTTGCACAAGAGATGGCTCTTGTGGCCGAAGTGGTTTAGTGGATAGAGCTTTGGCTTTTGGAACTATGGTTACTACCGGGTTCGAACCTCAGTGGGAATACCATCACTCACTGGGAACTGCAGGTAAGTCCAGCTGACGAGTTCCGAATAGGAAGAAGTGCGCATCTTCGATTTCACCGTCTACCAAATTAATTGGTCTATTAGCTGACATTTTCATTCTTAAATTTCCTTTTTGAGTAGACCACCAACTAACTAACTTTTCATTGATTAGTTTTAAATCAGTGATCAGTGTTCCATGACACTGTCACCAAATTTACACTGGAAATGAAACAGTGTGACGTAGTTACTTCGTACTGGTTTTTTCTTATAGTTTGTTCGTAGTAAGCCACGTATAATAGTTAGGGTCGTTAATCAAAGAAGGTGAATGGGAGTTAAATGATCAAGAGCTAAATTCTGTAAACCACACACACACACACACACGCTGTAAGTGAAAAACACGTGAATTCTACTGTATAAGCATTTTTGTCACAAGCTATTTGTTATTGCAGACATTAACAACATTTAAAAATGGCTTTCTGTTGTGTTTAAATTTAATTTGACAGTGGATAATGAATTATGAATAAGCTTTTTTTGATTTAACTTTTTTCTCAAAGATAAAAATAAATATTTATGCTTATGACGTAACTGATTCTTTTTTCCACTCTTTCGTTATCCAAGTGGTACGATTATCGTCTAGTTAGTGTTTTTTATAATTTGCATGATCACATGAACTACAGTCATTCTTTCTCAAATATCTCGTTAATAAGAGTAAAATATTTGCAAAATGATAATTTGATTACTTGTGAGTAGTTTACTTTATTTGGGATAACATTTCACGTCCATACCATTTTTGTTCTTATCACAAACATTTCAATTTTGCTTATTGAAAGTCGATTACAGCATTACTTTCATCTTGAATTTTTATGATTTCTTGTAAATGTACTCTGTTGATGAGTGTTAGCATGCATGGAACTTAAGTTTGAGGATTATTGACTGACAATTGGCTTCCTGACATGTAACACTAAATCATTCGATTACTTCACTCTGTTTATAGAAACTTCAATAAGTATATACTAAGTATACTTGCTGAAGTGTCTATGCATCATTCTCGCATTCAAATGGTTGCTGAGCTGATAAATAAAACCCTGAAATCCAGTTCATACAGAATGGATAAAAACGAAATTCAGATGACATAGGGATGTCTTCAAAAACAATGTATAAATATGATTCCCCTAATTGACTGACTTATTATTGAAATAGTGTAGAATAAATGGAATCGGGAAGTAGATTTTAGGCCCACACACTTCCAAATCTATGTTTTAAAACATCTTTCTATTTCTCATCTCTGAATGAGACCAGCATATTACCAATAGATGCTGATGAATACGTTCAGTTTTAGTGTTCATGTTATCTTTTCTTAGTAAACTTTGAAAGCTGCACACAGATATTCTCTTATCCATATAAACACAGTCGCTTCTATGATACCTTGAGGTGAACTTGATTTTGTTTAGTTGGTGTTGACTAGCAGTGGAATTCAGTCATTGCATTTCAGTCATACTCATTTCAAAAGATGTGGCCTATGCATTTCAGTAGCCTAGGGAATGGCTCTTTGGTAATTAAAACTATGGTTGGTAGGTTCGAGTCAATTTGTGATATGTAGGCAATTTCAGATGATGAGTCCCGAGTAGAAGGAAACACGTCTCCCTGATCCTACTGCACGAATTGACTAATCAAATAACATCAAGTGAATTGAATCCTAAGTTAATGAGTTAGTTTCTTTAGACTCTTATAACACAGGATTGCTTTTAAGGTAGTATTAAACGAAATAGACGTCGTTTGTTGTAATTGTCGCTGTTCTATTATCGAAACTTTAAGTACTTTCAGTCTGTACTAGATATTTACAAATTCATACTCATATTGTAGCCTTTCAAATTGCTGTTACTATGACAAATTGAACTTATTACTCTCGAATGTCATCTAAGTGACCACCGCTCACTAATCACTTGAATATATCTTACATACTTGAACAAGACTTACTATATCATAATAGCATGATGATTAGTTTAATTTCACGCTTTGAACAATAATCGTAAATTCAGACAGATGTAGTAGTGTTGCCGTATAGCTAAAGTTTCTCTCCTAATCAAGTTAATAATAATAATATCTCTCACTAATGCTGGTGTTGTGAATACTCACCGCTTTAAGTTCACTGACATATTGTCACCACCAACATCTGTCACTTTTATTAGTCTATAAAATTCAGTATCCGTTGGTTTAATGTAATCTACTGCTTTTATTTATGATACAGAAGAGAATTTGACGAAACATTCTGTTATTACGTATTTATTAGTATCTTTTATAGTCATAAATTGAATTTTATCGGTCTAAATTTTTTGAGGGTTGACTGAGTGTGTCAATTTACACCCTAATTGGTGTTAACGTTGACAAGAATAAATTGCATTTTCAAGATTTTTTTATGTGCCTAATTTGTTAGTTTTCATTCTCAGTTCCTTATATCTTTAGATATTGAAAAAGGAAAAAAAACGATATTGAGCAGACAGGATGAGGGTGATTTTATTGTTAATCGATACTAGTCATTGATTGAAGGGTCTTGAATAAACAACACAAGGTTTAATCATTGTTTTATTTGTTTTACTTCCTTAAAAGTCACCCATTATTTATTGGTGTTTACATTTGTACTTCTTTCGTGGATAGATTAATCGATCAAAGCCTAAATGTCCACGATGGTCGTTCTGTTCCTGGTGCACAACCTCCACATATTCCCATTTGTCAATCGACTCCTATTGTATCGAGAACAACAAACACTGTCATGTCAACGACGACAACTACAACAGCAAACACTTCATTCAGTTCATTGCTTACACGAGCTAGTAGTCCGCCTACATCCAGTCGTCGGACATGTTTGCGTACATTTATGCAGTTACATCCCGGTTTCAATGTTTGGAGCCCGAATACAACGACTACCAGTAATAATATAAGTCAAGATAATATGATGTCCCCTGCACCAATTCATCCATTGCCTATACCACGTATTAAAGCTCCACCAAGATATGCATCACGTGCTGTAATCAACGATACATACATGCGTCGTATTTGCCGTGATAGTGTTGAGAAATACAAACGTACAGCTAGTGAGATATACTTAGCCAGTGTAAATAAATTAGGTGTAAAGTCACCACCGCTACCTCTACAGCAATCATCAACACCGATGGCACCATCTTTAGTGTCATCTGAATGGTCAAATAGCTCAGTCGTTTCCGACAATCAGCAAACATCTCCCATGACAACAACAACAACAACAGGGAATGACCGAACCGTGAAGAAAATTGAACCGGTGAATAGAACATCGCAAGATATGCGTGATATACACCAACGAGATTCATCTTACACCTCTCATCCTCAGTATGTCACCAAAACTAGTGATATCACTGCTGTTACTAATGATAATATTAACAACAATAAAATTCCTGATTATTCTGCTCAGAAAGTTCAGTCTTCAGTTCACTCAACTACTACTGAAGTACCTTTATCCTCGTCTCCGTCTGCATCTTCATCATCGTCTTTAGAATTAATCGGTATAGATATACAACCAGATGATGAACAGAAATTATCTCTATCACCTACTGAGCTTGATTCACCTGAAGATGATCAAAAGCAACAGAATTCTGGTGATGTAGACAGTGGTCTAGGCGGTTCTGATCATACTATCAAGTCAGAACACCACCACCAACAACAACAACCACAAGTCAAGAAGTCATCATCCACCTTACAGTTAAGCTCATTAGTCACAAAATCCGAAACGAAATTAGTAAATTCTACTACTATTTCCAGTAATGCCGAGATTCAACGTGGTGAAACAAAAATGAAAGAGGTTTCTCCTAGAACTGTAGTGTATGTGGATGAAGGACATGGTACAGACGCTAGTACACTCAACACGTCTGGTAAGTCGCTTTTGATATACATATTTACTTAGACCTCTTATGAATGTATTTTAACACAATGTATCATTCTCATAATTTATAGTTATCTTTACCTTTCTTCCCCTCGTTAAGTCATATAATGATAACACCATTCATTGGTATTAATATCTGGCAATATTTTTCGATTCTTATCTGTCACTTAGCTTCATTAGTAAAGGGATTTGTTTGAATGATCCCTAAAAATCTGTCTTGTTGCTTAAATCTTTCTGAGTAAGCTGTGAGATAGCACAAAAAGAGTTGACGCCCACGTCCTTAATAACTGGTGAGATTTCTCTTTTTTCCTCCTTTGTGTTATCATCGTTTTTCTCATTTCCACCAGTGTGAGACATAAATACCTGAAATCATGCAACCCGCCTCATAATTACTGGTATTTTTAATTATCCATATATGTGCTTTCCCACCCCCCCTCTTTCATAAATCAGTTTGTTTACTCTGTTTACAGTACTGCAGATCTAGCTAGTTCATCGTGATGTTACCACGTGATTGTTGTTTACTTTAATAAATCCAATTACCTTTAGAACGTTTATATCTAATTTGACCTCAACGTTTGATTTTATGAAGTGTGGCAATTTAAGATGCTGTACTTTTATGTAAAGTTCTACGTGGAGAATTCAATTCAGTTCTGCATTTTTGATAGTGAATGACTTCCAAAAAGAGAACAAAATTATTTTTGTATTTATTTATTTTATTTTATATTATTCTATTAGGTTGTGAATAAGACAGAGGACTTCAAAAGTAGATCTCCGTTTCACCCTGTTCCCTTCAATCATCTTTAACTGTCTCCACAATTGTCCATATGTGTTCTCATCTCTTCACACAATCTTTTCTATAGACTGGTTTTAGATTATTTCATGATGTATAAAAAATTTATCACCTCTTTGTTGTTACTTCATTTAAGTAGGTATAATTAACTTTTTAGGTTAAACAATGAAATTATAGAACAGTCTATCTGAAATCTCCTTCACAGTTAGCCAAATGAAGGAGATTGAGAATGAATCTCAATTGTTGACCTGAAAACTCTATCGGGTTACACCCCTTTTGCTCAAAACTTGTGATATATATACAACACTATTGAATGTCTTTACCATCCTGGGTAGAGGTGGATGTGATGTTGAATAGAAGGTTAGACGTCGTCATATGACAGTTGTGTGTGTATATATGCTCTTTGTGTTGTGTGATTCTAGTTAAATGGTGTGTTTCATATCTCAGTCAATCAAGATGCATTGACCACACAAACATGCAAGCATGTTTGATTTCAATCACCCCCTTTGGATTAAGTTTCTTTTTATTATTATTATTTTCAATGTCATTCATCACCTATATACATTATCAATAATAATGGCAATAATAATAATTATTATTATAATAGTAATGGGATTTAAATGTCAGTAATAAAATGTCTTAAAATCCCTTTTTTTAAATGCTGATTCACAAGCTTATTTTTGTATTGATGAACTGATTCATTTATACGATGGAAGCAGTCAGCTTGGATGCTATTCACTATCTCAATTTATACTATATTCATCTTATCATTTCAGGGCACACCATGCATAAATGGTAAATAGGTTTATGTCATTGAAGAATAGAAAGGCCAATTATCATGCTTATTATTATTACTATCGTCGTCATTATCACTATAGATTGAAACTAGTTTTCCTCAACTGTGAAAATAGATAAACAAAGTGATAAATTCTTCATTGGATAAAGATAAATTACAAATACTAACAGTATAGAATAAAATCTTTGTTTACGTTATTACAAACAGGCATATATTAAGATGCATAAGAAGTGAATGAAGTTCAACTCTCGTTGTGATAATTAATTCTTATGATGGTGTGATTGAAAAGTTGCAATTAAAACAATAATAATAATTTCTCGTGAGTGTGTTGGTGTGTTGATAAGAGGAGTATAATGCCCAGAGATAATCAGATAACTTTCCAAAACAAATATATAAATTGAAAACACCTGGGTTGCTGACTAAGCTGTAGCATGCTTGTCATATAGTCTGACTACCATGTCTTCAAACATTCATGGGGCTGTGGCTATGCTCTGCTAAGTAATCCCAAAAGTAGTTTAAACAAATTTCTAATACTTCGTTTTTGCAATTGTTCTGCAAATAATTTGGCTTTATAGTGAAATCATGACTGATTGGCATAGAACTGCATACGTTCAAACTGTCACACTTCATATAGCACACAAAGGTAGACTAAAGAGAGAAGAAAGATATTCTGAAGAACTACGGTAAACAGAAATGTACGGGAGGAAGAACGAATAGTAATATAGCAAAACAGGGGAATTCGAATGGATATGACAGATCACAAAGGGTGAACGCATCTACGCCATGGACAATGACTTTGTGACTGTGCCACCAATAGTTTCCAGCCATTATTGCTTCTTAACAGTGTGAGGACCTCAACCTTACGTGGTTCAAATCAACTGTCAAAAACTTGATGGATTGATTCCAGGTTATGGATTCATCACCTTTAGCTCTTTTCAAACATAATCCTATTTTAGTTAACATTGCTTGTCTAGGAAGCCGATGGCTTAGGTTGTGCATGAAATTCACCTTAGCATCAATTATATCCTCATAGATACAGCAACTTAACCAATATAAATGTTAGATAATGTACAATAAGCATAAATTTTATTTACCACGTACAAAGTTCATATTTATAGTAAGTACTCAAGTTGACTAAAGTCGCTCGTAAATACTGAAAAGAGTATTGATATTATATCTTCACTATGTATGTTTTTAGACTAAGCTTTATGTTTGTTTACAATCCAAATTGTCATCAATTCATTCCAGTGAAGTTGAGATGAAATCAGTTCAGCGAAAAAATAGTTTTTGTGGAGCTTAAACGTAATTGGAACAAGGTAAAAAAAAGGGGGAGTGAGTGGGGGGAGATCCAGGATGCACAACTCGTCCTATTTGAAACTCGTTAGCGGGATGTATCTGTATCCTCAGTGGATGGTAGTTTTTCTACTGAGGCTCGTACACAGCACCCATTGTTTCAAATGCTAAATTGACTTAAACAGATAATCGGTTTTGTTTTTCATATGAACTAAAGTTAGAATGCCTTAAAGCTACCTATATGTGACTCATTTAAATAATTATAAACTTTATCAGCTAGTTATATATATTGATTAAATCATTCTGTGGTTGGACTCAATGGCTTTCTGAACTCGTGGAACGCTGACATTTATATCGATAAGAACAATAAGTTATGCAGATAACTCAATATATGACAACTGGCTTGTAATGTTTATAATAATACTTTTTCTGGTTAGAGGCGATCTGTAGATATTCCTTGATCTTGGCTTCGTACTTATTTGTACTCGTCAGCAATAGGTGCATATGCAACCTCCCGTTGATTACACCCAACTGCGTGATATTAATTCAGAGTTCACTGCAACAGTGATTCACCTGGCTTGGTTGCCAGATTGCAGACCTTACTAACAGAATTCGGTCAGCTCCAAGTCTAAAGGACTGGACACATGACACTGGTTAGTCCCTAATGGACCAGTCAATGAATCGAGATTAGCCGGATAATTAACATAGTATCCTAACTGAAGTCCTACTTTTGGTTCATCGTCAGATGATGACCGTAGGTTGCTTTCCAAATCCACTCGTAACCATTTTCGGATAAACAGTGAGCTGTATGGAACTGAACTGAAAATTTTTTTTAAACTGTGAATATGTTGAAATAAGTTTACCTGTGAATTTCTCATCCATACACATTACTGTACAAATAGTATCGTAATTTTTGTTACATAGAATTAGACATTTTAACGAGTTGAAATACAATCAAGTTGTTTATTGCATCGTTAGTTATTATTCCTATCAATATATTTATAATCAGTCTTACTTACTAACTTCTGTTTTAATCACTAAACTCCTGACATTATACGTTTTACATGATTTCTTGTTCTCTTTTTAAAATAATCTTCTTTACTTTTGGCTAATCTCATAGAAAAACAACAAATTAAACCTATTCTGCGTAAATCAAAATTATTCCAATCACCACTTACATCGAAACAAAGTCCAAGTTTAGACGGTGTAACAGAAACAACCCAGTCATTGTCATCTTCACCGTGTCAATCGAATTCTGTACGATTTCATCCATTAGCTTTATTGTTAGACGCTGCTTTAGAAGGTGATTTAGAGTTAGTGAAAAAAGCAGCTTCTGAGGTGAGTTAATTGATTTATACAGTCTGTTATCGATTTCTTTACCCCATTAAATTATTATTATTATTATTCGACATATTCCTTGTGGTATAGTTTATTTTATCTCAACGAATTGAAAAACACAAGATTGTTTCTAATGAAATTCGATAAGTGAACATAGTTATACAATGCTACGCACCGACAAACAACGCAGATCTCGAGAAGAAAGAAGTGTTTTACAGACAACTACAGGCAGCAATAGACAATACTCCAGTCGGCGACATTAAAATACTAATGGGAGACATGAACGCCAAACTGGGACCAAACAACACAGGAAGGGAACTCATCATGGGTAGAGAAGCTCTCGGAGAGATGAATGAAAACGGAGAACTCTTCGCCGACTTCTGCGCCTTCAATGAACTAGTGATTGGTGGCAGCGTATACAAACACAAGGCTACATGGGTGTCACCATATGGGCGAACCAAAAACCAAATTGACTTCATCTCAATCTCAAGGAAGTGGAGGCGCAGCCTGCTGGACACAAAAGTAAGAAGAGGAGCAGACGTTGGCTCAGACCACTATCTCGTACAAGGGACAATCCAAATCAAATTAAACGCTTTCAGAGAATCAGGAGCTGCAGATAGACCACAAGCCAAGTTCAACACTGAAAAACTGAAGGACCGGGACACAAAGGATATCTTCACTGCAAGTATAAAAGACAAAGCCGAGACACAAATCAACACTGGCGAAGAGGTCAGCGTCGAAAAGCACTGGAACAACTTGAAAACAGTGTGGAGTCAAACCTGCATTGAAGTTCTAGGCAGAAAGAAGAGATAGGACAAACAGTGGCTCACTACGGACACTTGGAGACTGATAGAAGAGAGAGGGGTGGTGAAACAAAAGATTCTCCAGTGCACCGACGAGCAACAAAAACAGGATTTGAATGCAAGCTACAAGACACTGAACAAAAGAGTAAAGAAGAGTGCCAGAGAAGACAAAAGAAAGTACTATGAAACCATGGCAAGTGAAGCAGAACAAGCTGCAGGCAAAGGAGACCTCGCAACACTCTACCAAACTACTAGGTACCTATCGGGCAAACGTTTGACACAAATCAAGCCGGTGAAGGATGACAATGGAAAGTCACTCAACAAAGAAGTGGAGCAAAGGAAACACTGGGCTGAACACTTCGAAAGACTCCTAAATCAACCACCACCTACAACGCACCCAACAATACCAACAACGGAGACAGAGCTACAGGTGAACACCACCCCCCCCCCGACGAAATCAGAAGTCCTGAAGGCTGAAAGCAGGGCTGAAGCCCTATGTTCCTCTAGGAATTAAAGGAAACAATAATAATAACAAACACTTGGAAATTCTACCATTGCTTTTTAATGCATTATTTTAAGGTGTTTCTCTCAAAGTCGTAATGGATATTCGAGATCTGTACGTCAAAGCATGTGAAGAATGCAAATGAATGCTACACCTATCGTATTGAGTAATACTAGTGTTGTATTCTCAGAGGAATTTAGCTGGTTAGATGTTTTGAAAAATTTCAGTCCATTAATTAGATAACTTAACATTTATCACTAGACCCGAATGTCTTCTAAATTAAAGGCTTTTTGCTATAAGTGATAGTGCTTTGTAAAATAACTAGATAAAAAGCAGAAGTTCTTTAGCGTTCATTAGCTTCCATTGATTTTCTTGACGATATTTTCATCATTTTTCAATTTAAATAGGTTGTCGATGTTTCTGAGTCAAACGACGAAGGTATCACAGCATTGCATAATGCTGTGTGTGCTGGTCGTGTGGATGTAGCTGAATTCCTTGTGCTTACAGCTGGAGCTGATGTTAATGCTGGTGACACAGATGGTTGGACACCATTGCATTGTGCTGCATCCTGCGGGAACTTACCCTTAGCTAAACTTTTAGTGGAACATGGTGCTTCTTTGCATGCTCGTACTTTATCTGATCAAGAAACGCCTTTAGAGAAGTGTGATCAAGGTGATGAAGAAGCTGAATGTGAAGAATACTTATACTGTAAGTTATGCGGCAATTATTTCTGTTACCAGTGTTTTTACAGTGTACCACTGCCTTTGGACTAGATATTTTGTACATTTAGGAATTTATTTTATGTGAATGTTGCATAGCTGGGGAACGGTAACCTGAATCACAGCTAAGTCAATAGATTGTTAGCGTGGCCCAAGTGGTCTAATGGATAATGCTTTGGTATTTGAAGCGAAGGATACTGATTTCGAGTTTCAATGGGAGCACTGTCACTAACGGGAAACTGCAGTTGGTGAGGCCCAAATGGGACGAAGTATGCATCCTGAATTCTACTGTTAGTCGTCATCCACCAGATTACTCAATCTTTAGATCATTTGTCTGATATTCACTGAAGATGTGGTTCTTTGGTTTAAGCACTCGAGTTTCAACTAGCAGGTTTTGGGGTGAGTGTAAACCGCTCCTTCTAAGTCAATTTTGGCATCTGAGTAGTATCATCTTTGCCCATACAATAAGTCTGACTCACTATCTGTCTGTCTGTCTGTATTCGACATAGAGCTTTGCACAGATGTGCGGCAGTTCAAGCCACCACACTTCAGGTAGCACACAAAGCAAGAGAAGAAATACAAAATAGAGACAATAGACAGGGATATGAGACAAGAGGAATAGTAATAAAGAAGAGCAATGTAGTTTCATTGAGTATTATAAGCCACAAGGAGTGGATGCATCTGCGACAGCCATTGAGAACGATTTTGAGCCATATCACCGATTGTCTCCAGCCATCGGTTTTTACTGTCCCGAGGACCCCAACCAGGAAGTCTACACCTTCCTACATGGCTTAGACTAACTGCTGTAGATTTCGTTGACTGGTGCCATGTTTTAGTTTGACCGCCGCCAGCTCTTTTCCAACCTGACCCTCTGTCAGCTAACATTGCCCGTTGTCGAGGAAGGCGATGACTAGGCATACGTAGCACATGTCCTAACCATCTCAGTCGATGTAATTTCACAGCCTCGTCGATTGATTTCCCCTCGTTACCTAGCACTCGACGCCTAACCTCAGTATTGCTCACCTTATCATGCCACTTCACACGGGAGATAGAACGCAGGCACCTATGATCAAAGACAGCTAATCTTTTTATGTCTTCTGCTCTCAATGACCAGGTCTCACAGCCATAAAGGAGGACGGAGCGGACTGTTGAGCAGTACACACGCCCTTTGGTCGATAGCCGGGGTCCTACTCACAGCCTGATACATCAAAAGTGATCTCTAAAAAAATCTAATATTCATCTCTGTCGATATAAGGTGCCTCTAAAATACCGACAAGAACATATTCTCACATTCATCTTTAATCTAAATTATCATACGTGTAGATAATCCTGTCACTCCAGGTGCATTACCACAGAAGAAAACTATTGTTTTATGGCAAAGGACAGAATAGAACACATTAGTCTTAGCCGTGTTTGACTACGTCTCACTGTCAGTCTGGGAAACCAGTCCTTCTTGCTTATGTTCTTATTTGAATCATTGCCCTAGTCGTTATTATTTGTATTACTATCATCTCTCATCACTGTCTTCCTTTTTCCATATTTTTTCACCATACATTTGTATGTTTGTATGTTGTTTCCTCAATGTCAAAATAAGCCTCTGTGCTAAGCTATAGGTTGACCTTTAGGCCAAGGTAACTTTGTTTGCATACCACTTTGGTTTCTGCTCCTAAGTGTTAGTGTCTTTCAATGTACTTAAAGTCAATACTTGATATTTTTTGTGCTTCTACACGTCTGTGTACTTCTTCGGAGAAGATTAACATAAATTTAAGAAGCACTTTAAAAAATTTTCAGTATTTTCAATCTATTCAAATTTTTCTTTTTCTTACTACCCTTTCCAAAATAAGCAAATTTATGTTAGACTTGGATAAAAATTGTTTAGCCTTTTACCTTTTATTCATGAGGCTGTTGAAATGTATTAAGTGTCCCAGAGCTTTTCCACTTTCACCACTGTCTTCTCGAGATTCATTTAACTTATTCAATTACTTTTCTATTTTCATCAAAGCAGTATTTCCTTAAGTGGTTGTGTCTAATTCTAATTGCCTTCACGCCTTACATAATATTTGTAAAGGTCAAGTTGTTTTGTTTCACCCTCAAGGTGCATGCTTTATTGTTAAGTGACATGGCGTACAGAATCAGCGTGATGAGATCATGGTACATACAGATTTGATTTGTGTATGTGTGTGTGTGGTGGTCGGTTATTTACAACCCAGAATAGCTTATTGTATGCACAGTATGAAGCTGTGATGATTATGCGTAAGGCTTTTTCTCATCGCCTTAACTTCCAGTCGTACACGTTGATTATATCATTCGACCTGTCGTCTAACAAAGGCACTCAATATTCACCACACTTTTTTTATTCAGAAGTAAATGCCACAGAATTCCAAGCATAACCTTAATTTTACACATAAACAAGAGACAAAACTCAAAAGTTTGAAAATGTAAAAAGGACTCAGAAGTAGAATAGTTCATGTTGACGAATTTGAATGTTATAAAATAATCAAAAGTTAATTAAACGTCAAATGTATGATGAATTCATTGGTGAAAATATTTACTATAGCTGTCTAGAATATTTTCATTTCCGATGGGTTTTTTTTGACTTACTCAATGCTTAATAAAAAATGACTCAACAAGTGAAATATTTGTTCCTATCATCAAAACTTGGAAATTGTTCTTGCTAATTGATGAATATGAGTTGGTCAAATTGTGTTGATTTGATGATATCTAGACATTTTACCCGTTACCATTGTTTGCTGTTGATCAGTTAGAAAGCTGGCAAGTTATGTCTTATCCTATTTGAGATCTTTCAGTTATGAATGTGCTTCTGTGCTATGATTGATATCATTATTTCCAATTATATTACGGCTTCTTGGCTATACTACTTTTAGGAATAGTCGAGAATGAATCCATTTGGCGAGGTTTCATCATTTTCCATTAACTAACTAGTAGCAGTGATAATAGAAATGACTAAAGCCAATTATCGATCTTTACATAACAATTGGTGCGTCTGTGGCATAGCGGTTAGGGCGCTCGCCGACCATGCACATGGTCCGGGGTTCGATCCCCGGCCGACGCACTCCTTTACCTCGCTAAGCCAGAAATAATGCTGATGAAGAGGAAAGGTTGGCCATGAGGCTAGCAACCCCATCCTGTAAAATAAACACTGCTACAGAAACTTCAAACCACTAGCTTGAAGCCATATGTTCCACTGGGGAACGTGAAGGAAAAAGAAGAGAAGAAGACATAACAATTGGAAAAGATTGAGTTATGTGCCTTCACCTTCTTACAATCACTCGTAGGAATCTAAGATGCATCTGGTTACCTATTGCTTAATGACCAGTTTAATAGAGGAAACTACACAAATAACCAACCAAATTTACTGATAATTAAGATTATCTGAACTTAGATGCATCATCATCTGCATTATGTCTTTTAAACTGAGGAGGTAACCACAGTAATTTACTGGCTATCATCACATAAGATTAGTCAGATCATTGGGAAAAAAATGATTACTGAACAGTTGGTTTGCTTTGTGCAGAACTTTTCAACCATGCAAATCCATAATTGCATCGACGATCGAGGCTGGGAGCCTGAGGTTACGAGAGTAGTATTGTAACAACAGAAGACAAGGGCCAGGCAACAGATCCTTTATTAAGGAAAATCAACACATATTTATAGATTTTAATGTACATTATTGTAGATTATTGTTAGTAGAAAATACAGTTTTTTGATTGGTTGTTTCTCGCAGAAAGTTAACCTTGCATCTCTTTGTGGCTGTGTCAGATCATCCATATGCTAACTGTATCCGCCTACACAAAACCTTTGTTCTCATTTTCTCACCACCAATATTGGGGACATAAACATTGACGTCAATTACTGTCTACCAACTTTGGCTAACAGCCAGCTCTCACCACAGTATGTTCATCATTGAGTCGACGATCTGGGATCCAGTGATCCATGGATTCTGCCTTCTGCTAACTCCACCACTAGCCATCTCATAACCATACTGTTAATCGATTCTCATTGAAGCTCCATAATTATTAAGATATAAACTGTGAAAACACTTGATTTCGTCACAAACTGAACACTAGACTCATGTTTCATCCCAGCCTGGATATCTTCAGTGGTGTGCACCAATGATTTCATGAAGAATGTAGTCCAGGAAATTCACACTACGAAACAAACATGTTTGCTGCTCCTCTAATAAGCTGTAATCCAGTGGAACACTGTCGAAAGTTTTCAGATGCGCTAAGATACTGTACCATACCATAGTGATCTATAATAGTCACTTCTTTCTAATCCATTATTAGCTTGAAACAGTAATATTTTGGTATATATACTGAAGTCAAATTATACATATATATATATATTTTGGGTAGTGGCTATCAGCAGAATCCGAGACACTCATTTCGCATCATATGGCACTCGTCATCTGGTCGCGCCTGCATCCTGGTGAATGACAGAATTCCCAATGGAAGCTCCATTTCAGCACCCCTTGTTTTAAACATCAAAGCGTAATTCACTGAATCACTGTGTGACGAGATCATCTACCACTTGTTTAACGGTTATCGTTTAGATTATATGTTTGATTGACCTGGATTGGGAATTGTTCAGTATTGATGATGGTGTCCTTTTTGTCATTTATTCATCGTTAGACTATTTTTTTAAAGAAACACTAAGAGAAAGATTTTATTGATTTTCTAGTCCATCTAACAGTCGCACAACCAATTTGATTATAAATTTTCAATTTGAGTTGTAAACTTCTCAACCCCTATGGGAAAAAGTACACAGTGTATCAAAATAATAAATTTCAGATATTTATTTATCTATGTCATTTATACTTTTTTTTCTTTCTTAATCTCTATCAGTTCAACATGAACGTCTTGGTTCTGCTTCATCTGGTCGAGTATATGCACTATTTCCTCGTGGTATAGAAGCAGCTGGACCTGGTTCTATAGATGCACATTTAGAAGCTGATGAGTTACCAATGAAACCGAATGAAGTATTAACTATTATAAATCGTGAACCACCTGGTGAAATAGAATGGATGTTGGCTGAAAATTCTGAAGGTCAAAGAGGTTTAGTCCCGCGATCACACATATCATGTTATCCTTTAGTACGTATCCCACCGGCTAGTTTACCAATTATGGAAATGCCTAAGAATAATTTTACAACGAAATCAATAATTTGGAGTGAATATGACGATGAGGATGATGATGATGATGACTGCGAAGACGATGGTGAAGGCGAAGGTGGTGGTGGTGGTGGTGAGGCAGATGCAAAAGGTGATCATTATCAGGCTATGGATTATAAAGGCTGTGATGATAATCAGTCATTACTTGGAGGAGAATCAAAACTACAATTTATTTCATCTGATGATAATTTTGTTAGTGATAATGTTAACAATAATAATAATAATAATAACAACAAAGATCGTGGTTATACACATGTTTCAGTGGAAATCAATGATGTTTCTACAGCTAAATCACAATCATTGTCATCATCACTAAATGAAGTTAAACAATGCATTTCTCGTCCATCTATTAATTTCACTGGACTTAAAACTGACGATCGTCAGTCATCAGATGAAGTAAGTTAACTGTTTAACAAAAACTATTCATAAAATTAGTCGATTTTAAGAAGTTTATCCTATTATATTAACTGATTAAAAATGCCCATTAAAATTTTCAAAAGAATAGATGCTGAACAAAGAGTACTCTTTTCGATAAATTCATCATCAGGCTTCACAATTATATATACATATCCCACTACGGCTAAGTAAAGGTGTAGTTAAAACTATTAACAGCTCGATATTAGACCATCTGGTGCAAACAGGTCACAAAACCAGCGTAGAAGAATCCTCTATAATATACCGGGCGCCTAACAAATTACCAAAATCATCAAAGCACCGCATGCTCCAAACAGCAGAGGCTATTGCAATTCGCCTCAAACAACCAGTGCTTTGTGTTCAAAAGAAACAAGTCCAGCCCCTACTACTGCCCTGGCCCTCAGTAGAAACTATAAACTCATGAATTTGTACTATTATCTTTCCTAATTCTTCTGACATCCAGCTTATTTTATGTTGATGCTATTCAGCTGTAATCTATCAATATTATTGATTCGATGTTATTTAAACAGCATTAATGTTGTTCATAAGACTAATTCATTCATTCACTATAATGTATATATAACTGTAGAGCCTGATGATGAACTTATCCTATTTTGTTATAATAACTGTTTCAGGTAGAAGTGATAAGACTGTCAGAGTTCAACCGTTTTTTTAAAAAAAATGAATTATTCATACTTAAGTCAATGGTGATTTTGACTGATATCTAGTGCTTTAATGTGAAACCATTCACGTCGCCATAGTTTAGTTAATGGAATTCTCTTGTACATTACTTAATCGCTGAAGAATTCATTGACTGTTATTATCAGCTTTAATACACATATAAATTGCTTGTGACGTAGAAAGTGAGAAGTTATCGTTATTGAGTTAGAATTTCGTATTCCATATTGCATATAAATATTTGTAATGTTTATTGCAAAGTCTATCTTAAACTTCTACAGCATAGGGTATTATATCAGCATGTGAAGTGGGCAGTTGATTTTTTGTTCCTTCACATTTCCCGTGGAACATAGAGCTTCAAGCTTGAGCTGTGAGAATTTCGGTAGCAGTGGTTTTATTTTTACGAGGTGAAGTCGCTAGCCTCATGCACAACCTCCCCTCTCTACCTGGCTTAGCGAGGTTTAGGGGTGCGTCAGCCGGGGATCGAACCCCAGACCACATGCATGGTTGGTGAGTGTTCTATCGCAGAACCACCGACCCACTGGGGTGAGCACTAGCGTGATATTATTATTAGCTGCAACACAATAGGCAGAGGTCACTATCAAGTGGACAGACTTACAGTATTGCTGAAAAACCACTAAAATAGATACATAATTAAAAATAACAATGTAAGATATATATATATATATATATACATATTGAATATCCAAACAACAAATGTAGTATGCACGCACGAAGAGAAATTTCTCTCTATGAATCTGCTAACTTACAGAACCCTTACTAATAATGATATGATATTGATTTTAACACTTCAGTAGCAACAGTCATTTAAGTCGTATAGGAAATTGTTACATGATTAAAAGTTTGAAATTAATTGGATGCTGGATTCTCACTAGATAACCCATTGATAACGTGCTCTCCACGAAATCTGTTGTTTGTTTACTTGATCGTCAGTGCATACTACTGAAATCCGTCTTGAAAATGATTTGTTTTGGTAACTATATGAAAATAATACTATTCTGTGAAATGTATAGCATGGTGAATTTATGTAATCACTAGTTTTATATTATAGGCTTAAAGTATTAGGATTATAAATATCCATTCTGAAAAACAGAATACCAGATACTCGTCATATGATCAAACGATGTACACCCTGGAAATGGTGTAACAATTAAATCTATTGACTGTGGTCTCATCTTACTAACTTAGATGATGAAAATATTACCTCTGATCAGCTAGTTATGCTAAACTGCTATTGAACTTTGCCAGATTCTTTTGTTATTGTTGCTTAGCATCGAATTTTATGTAGTAAAAGTTAATATCAGCGTCAGTGATTCAATGGTAGAATGCTTACCAATCATGCGTGTGGTCTGGGGTTCGATTCCCGGTCGGCGCACTCTTCACAGTTGGTAGTGATCCCATTAAGGAGGGGCTAGCAACCACACCACCGCTATTAAAACTTCAAAGCTCAAGCTTGAAGCCCAACGTTCCACTCAGAACGCAAAGGAATTTTTAAAAAATATAATCGAGAGTCGTTGGAACTTGTTTATTTTCCCAAGCTTCTTCGGAAACATAATTTGAAAATCTTAGTGGTTTAATAACTATCAGTTTTATTTTTGTTTATCTTTACAGTGTAATTCAGTTGAAGCGTTTCTAGTCTTGTGACATAGTAGATGATAAGTTAATTCTTACAGAAGTTGTTAGTGCATTATTTTTAAAAAAAGTTCTATTTCCTTACGTTCCTAGTTGTACCTAGGGCTTCAATCTAGAGGTTTGAATTTTCCGTAGCAGTGTTGTTTTTATTTTTACGAGGTGAGGTTGTTAGCGTCATACCCAACCTTCCCTCTTTAAAAGTCTTATTGTCGGCTTAGCGAGGTAAAGGAGTGAGTGCGTCGATCCGGGATCGAACCTCAAGCCACATGTGGCGTAGTTGGCGAGCATTCTACCGCTGTGCCACCGACGCACTGTTAATGCATACCTTCACTTAAAATAGACTGAAGAAGAATACTGATATCCAGAATAGAAAGTATTAACCATTAACATCCAATAGATGCTTAGTCTGAATCATTCCAACTAGTACAGTTATATTCCTTCTTTAAATATCGATCGAAATAAATCATAGTGTTACTCATTATGTAATCATTCTAATTGAATAACTAGTGTCCATTTTCAGTGTTATAAACAATTTGATTACAGTTTATTTCTCTTCTACAAAAATATATAATTGAGTTTATCTATCAGTTTAATTTGATCTATATGAACTTTAGTATTTTATAAAGAGAATTAATGAAATTGAGTGCCACACTTACTACTTCACTTGTTTGCCGTTTATAATTTCAGCATACACAGTATACTAGTTTTTGGAATTAAATACTATTCGACAGGAGAAAACGCTATTTCTCATATCTATATAAAACTCTGTCGACTATAGAATGTTTGAAGGAAGTCGTGAACTACTGTGGTTTCATACTTCTTGTTTCGACTCATCAGTAAGACATACATGTGATATAATACTGTCTCAGTAATTTGAAGCTATATCACCTAGTGCCTGAGCTACTCTGAACACTACTGGATTGTATACAGGAACGATTTGGACATACTGACTAAACTGGTGTTAAATTCCCTGGACGTTACATTTAGGACATACCTGTTGCCATTTCTCACTACTTAAATACCTAATTGAAGTGGTGGCACATTATCTCTTTTAATGACAAGGTATTTAGTAATTTGGTACTGCGACCAAACTGCACTTTCAACATTTGATACTTTAAAGAAATGAAAGTTATTTTTTTAAACGGATCAAAATATCCCTATATACCTGCCTATTTCACCTTAGATAAAGTGGACTAAATATTTTCATAATTCTATGTGTCGGTAATAAATATTCTTATGTAGACTTCGTTACGAATGGAAATCAGTTAAAAAACTATTGTTAATCAGCTTTTTTACCCTGGTCTGGAACTGTTGAGTATTTTTTACCAGAGATTCCGCCACGAGTAGAAATCAGGTTTATTGCTTTGTGAAGTAAGTACGCTATCTTTGAGCTACAGCTTTAGAACCTTATATTCCTTATATCGCCAGCACCAAGGTATTCTACGGTGTATATCTTTGATCTATTACACTTTATACTAGGAATTTTTTATTTCTATCTAATAACAATATTTCAACTTGAACATGTAACTGTACTCGAAATATACTTTAACTTTAAGTTTGTTTACCGCTGGCTTTAGAATTCTGAGTTAGAAAGAAACCGTTTCTGTTTTGTTTTAAAAGAAACTGTATAAGTAGAAATTATATGGCAGTTGGCATGTAAATTTATCAGAATATCCTTTTTGATTTTTTTTTATTCCTTCACGTTCCCAGTGGAACATAGGGCTTCAAGCTAGAGGCTTGAAGTTTCTGTAGCAGTGTTTATTTTACAGGATGGGGTTCCTAGCCTCATGCCCAATCTTTCCTCTTCACCACCTTTAGTTCTGGCTTAGCGAGGTAAAGGAGTGCGTCGGCCGGGGATCGAACCCCGGATCATGTGCATGGTCGGCGAGCGTCCTAACCGATATGATATGATATGTCTAAACGCAGGGCATTCTCGCTATATAATCATCATTATTCTTATATTTATTCATATAAATTTATCCCCTATCTAGTAATTACTCTTACTAGTTGTAGTTATAAGAATAACATTACTCACTTGAACTACTCTTTTTAGAGTAGGACTCTCGCTGACCATGCACATGATCCGGGGTTCGATCCTCTGCCGATGCACACTTGATATCAATGGTCGGGCTGCAAAATTTGGGCTACCGATATCACATGCTGAAAATTCCATACTTGTACCAAAAATACGGTGTGGAATCAAGCTATAATCAAAATAATAAATAAATTGGATAGGAAATTCATGCCTTATATCATTTGCACATGTGATTGGCTATAATGCAGTAAACAACGCGTAGCTAGCTGGAAATGCTTTGCTCATAAAGTTGTGAACTTGGAAAGCGATAAAACTTCAAGCATATTCGTAATCTATCTAGACTTGATAAATTGTGTATTGTGTACTGTTTTTGCAATCGAATTATGATGTAGTGTTTTCCTGAATTAGTACTAACTCGAAATGATATCCAGAATCAAACATGAACTACACGGACCGTAGTAGTAGTAAATATTGTATTATTAGGATAACTGATATTCAGACAGCCAGCCAGACAAAGAATGTACTTTTGATGATATTAGATAGTTGGAGGCAATCAGCAGGAAGCCTTGGACCTAAGTTTCGTGCTAGTTGGCGCTCATCAGCAAGGCGTATCTGAAATCTTGAAGGGACTCATGTCCTTTCTGAGATTCGAACCCGCGTCACCCAGTGCTGCAGTCAGAGACGTTACCACTGAGCTATTCGGGCTGGCGACTGACCTCCTGTAGGACTGATGGACACTAGTAACTAATGTGACGTGTCTTGTCCTTTCTTTGATGCAGACTGAATTCTATCAGTCAGGTATTTGCAATGTGGCCACCATTGTAGGTAGCTTGCCATCACGGTGCACATTGATTTGATGATATTAGATAGTTGGAGGCTTTATAATCATCAAACAAACTCAGACACTCCATATATTATTAATAAAATGTACATTTAGTCATAGTCACATGCTTGGGAATAAACAATAGAATTAGAATATAGATACACCCACATGAATAAACATACAGTTTGTTATTTTCAAATGTATGGGAATAAACAATAGAGTTGGTATACTTGCTTATTAATGCATCACATGTTACTGTATATAGAACTAGAAGGACGATATATAAAACGTTGTGACTTACCGTTTTACGAATGAATTAGATATGTGACTATGACTATTTACAAATCAGCACATGTTGTATGCTGGAGAAGGTGTAGTTTTCTCTGAGCCGGATAGTATATTTGTGAAGCTTCGATTATCTTTCTTCAGCGCATACTTCAGTTTGAAGTACTTATACTCTGAGCTCAGGTCAAAAAAATAATCATTACCAGTACAAGTAGACTGGATGGTGGGAAAAACTCCAGAAACAATCAGTCACATTCAATGTTACCAGGATAGACAAAGATGGCTAATAAACTCGTGGAGAATTCTAAACTCTCACTTCAAGTTGAAGTATGCGCTGAAGATGTTGTCTAGGAAGACTATAAAAGCTTCTCAACTGATAAATTGTGTCTTTATGAGTAAATAAAACTTAACTCGTATTATTGCAAACTCGTGTATACACTACTCTTCAGTAAAACTGTTTTTATGGATTTTTCGTTCATCATATTCCTGGTGAAACAGTATCTCATTATGTATTTACACACTCAGATAAAATAACTTTTAATTTTTACAGATTCAAATTTAAATCCATGTCATTCATATATATGTATATGTACAATAAAATCAAAACAAAACCAAAGACGTAAGAAAGTGTGTTGTGTTATTTTTGTGTCCTTTTGTGTTTTCTCACTGTTTTATATGCTCATGTGTGTGTGTGTGTGTGCCAATTTGGTGTTACAACACGTTTATACATAAAAGATCAAATGTTAATTTGCAAGGATTTAGTCGATTACAGGTTTGCTCACGAACTGATATCAGTGAGGAAAAGGCACTGGGAAACCAAGGATTAACTGGGCAGCTGATTCGCCCTAGTTTTGGACTCATCGGCAATACACATCCACCGGAGTTCGAACCCAGGACCTTCCAGTTACGAAGAGAGCTCGTAGACCATCCAGTCACTGGGACTCGGTCTAGTGGCCTATAAATTCCAACGTCTGCCAATTCGCGATGTATAGCGCAGCCGCCAGTCAATGTCATAGACGAGTAGCTCTTCTCTTACTTGATGTGATAGATTCCTCTGATTACGACTTCTCATTAGAACTCCAGGTCCACTAAGTCAGGTAAGAGAGAGTTACTCGTCTATGACATTGACTGGTGGCTGCGCTATACATCGAGAAC